AATAATTTTACTAAAGCATATAAGTTAATTTAAAGTATAAACTGAAAAAAACAACGAATGACTTGAATAAAACATATAAACTGAACAGAAAAGTAGAAAATAAATATTAAACAACTTATTTTACTAATAACCGTTCAAATCGAACTAAATTAAAGTTGAAAAAAATATTTGTACTAAAATATACAAGAAATAGTTATAATGTAAATAAAAAAACAAAGAATCGTATTAAATACTGCCTTTAATTTTTCTCTGCCTGACAACTATTATCTCCTAATGAGGGTACAGCTCTAAAACTCAGTTTTATGGTTCTGAGGCCGGCTGGTAGTCAGGTTTCCCGAACGCTGTGGTAGCTCTCAGAGAGGCTGATTCCATCAACAGCCGAAAAATATCAGAGTACTAACAGTGCCATGTTGCGCATGGATGGTGTCCCTGTTTGTACTTTTGGTGTGCATTGCAGAGGCCACATTTGGAGCCCTTTGTTACGGCTTAGGGTTTATTAATAGTAATGAGGCTATTGCTTAGTTGTTAAATAGTGTACTGAGTACTATCTACACTTGAGTCAAGTTCTTTATAAATTTAAAATGACTAAAGTACCTAAAACTAAAAAACACAAAAAACCATCTTCATCACCAAGTTCTCTAAACCTATCATTTACTAATATTCGTGGTCTTCGAAGTAACTTTTCTTCTGTTGAGTCTTATCTCTTGCAAAGTTCACCAGACCTACTTGCTCTTTGTGAGACTAATTTGAGTTCGGCTGTCCCATCTTGTGATCTTAGTGTTGATGGTTATCTTCCTTTAATTCGTAAAGACTCCAATAATCACATGCTTGGCCTGGGCATTTACATTCGTAAGAACTCACCCATTTGCCGTGAAACTAGGTTTGAATCTACAGACTACTCATTTATGTGCTTTCGTTTAGCACAACTTCACTCTATCGCCTTTCTCTTTGTTCTATATCGCTCTCCTTCATCCCTAGATTGCACTATTCTTGATGTTATTTCTGATCAAATTGACCAAGCCCTTTCTCTTTATCCATCGGCCAATATCGTCGTTGTTGGTGACTTTAATGCCCATCACACCGATTGGCTTGGCTCTAGTGTCAGTGACTCTGCTGGCGTTAAGGCCCTCAACTTTTGCCTTTCTCAATCTCTAACTCAAATAGTCAACTTTCCAACTCGTTTTCCAGACAACCCTAATCATTTACCTTCTCTACTCGACTTATGTCTTGTTTTGGATCCTAGTCAGTGCTCAATTTCTCCACATTCACCCTTAGGTACTTCTGATCACGGTTTGATCTCTCTAAAACTATTATCAAATTCTTCTACTTCATCAGAATCCCCCTATCATCGTACCACATACAACTACCTTAAAGCTGACTGGGACTCTTTCCGTGATTTTCTTCGTGATGGCCCTTGGGTAGAAATCTTTCGTCTTCCTGCTGACAAATGTGCTTCTTACATAACTTCGTGGATTCAGGCTGGCATGGAATCCTTTATTCCCTCTCGACGATTCCAGGTCAAGCCTCACTCTTCTCCTTGGTTTTCCTCACATTGCGCTGCAGCAATTTCTAATCGAAACCGTTACTTCCATATCTATCAGCAAAACAATTCTCCAGAAAACAGACATCTTTTCACTATCGCCAGAAACCATTGTAAAAAGGTTTTGTCTGACGCCAAAGCTCGGTATTCCCAGGTCATTAAATCTCGTATCTCATCACAAAAATTAGGCTCTCGAGACTTCTGGAGAATCTTTAACAGTATCAATAATAAGGGCAAATCTGTTATTCCTTCTCTCTTGTATGGTTCAGACTTTGTCACCTCACCTAAAGACAAAGCTGAATTGTTTGCTAAGAACTTTTCATCAATATCATCTCTTGATTCCACTAGTTGCGTTTTACCTGACATAGCCGTCAAACAGGTTGATCCCTTGCTTGACATTCGCATCACTTCAGCTTCTGTATCTAAAGTAATTTCCTGCTTAGACTCTTCAACAGCTTGTGGTCCTGACAACATTCCTGTTGTAGTTTTGCAGAGGTGTTCTCCGGAGCTTTCATCCATACTTTCTAAACTATTTAACAAGTGCTTATCAGAGTCTTGTTTTCCATCATGCTGGAAAGCAGCATCTGTTATCCCTATTTTCAAAAATTCCGGAGAGCGATCTGATTCATCTAACTACCGTCCCATTAGTCTTCTTCCTGTCATAAGCAAGGTTTTTGAATCTTTAATCAACAAACACTTAATCTCTCATCTTGAATCAAATAACTTACTTTCTGATCATCAATATGGATTTCGGTCTTCTCGTTCTACAGCTGATGTGCTAACAGTAATAACCGATAGGTTTTACCGTGCATTAGATAGAGGTAGAGAGGTTAAGGCTATCGCACTTGACATTTCTAAAGCTTTTGATAAAGTTTGGCATGCTGGTCTTCTCCATAAGCTTTCTTCTTATGGTGTAGCTGGTAATGTCTTTAAGATTATTGAGTCCTTTCTTTCCAATCGTAGTATAAAAGTTGTCCTCGATGGACAACACTCTTCTTCACATCCTGTAACTTCAGGGGTTCCTCAAGGTTCAATCCTTGGCCCTATACTCTTTTTAATTTACATTAACGATCTTCCAGATATTCTCACATCTAAGGTGGCATTATTCGCTGACGACACTACCATTTACTCTTGTCGTGATAAGAAACCTACACTCTCTGATTGCTTGGAGGGGGTATCTGAGCTTGAAAAGGATCTCACTTCTGCTACAGC